ACTTGACAGAAAAGGTTGCAGACTTCATGTCCCCACAGATGACATAGCAAGGACTGGAAGTATGCTGTGGGATTCTGACACAGAGAAAACTGGCACACAGAATAGTAGAGCAGCACAGACACTCAGGAGAACAGAACACACAGGTGTGTACACCACGGATAAACCAGAGACTAGTCCTCCAGATAATATACTAGGCAGTCTGCCCTTTCCTTTATCCCTAAACAACGGTGCCTAAACCAGATGGAGCTTGGCCTGACTGAGGCCTGCAGATGAGGAAAAAGGAATATAGTACCCAGGAGTGCACTCCGGACAACCCACCTAGCTGCAGACACAAGCTCATCAGCTTACCATCCAGTCCTTCGTTTCCTGATCACGGAAGCATTAGATGCAGTCTGCAAGTGAGGAGGCCACAAGGGGAATTCACCAGGTGGAAGGAAAAAAAAGAAAAATCCACCCAGCAGCTGCAGGAAAAATCCCAAAACAGCTTCCTCCAAGTTGACTAGCAACAAGCAGAGGCTATGCCCAATCTGGATGCCAGAAATTTGTTACCGAGCAGTGGGCTCGCTCTGCTTGCCGCCATTGGAGCCAATTGATCATAATGAGTTAGGGATCAAGAAAGGAAGCTTTAATCCAATTAGCCAGCATAATCGGGAAGATGGCAGACTAATGTCTCAAAAAAAATCTTCAAAAATTACAGAATCTTGAGGTAGATATATAGGGAAAATGGGCAGTGAGGAGAGGGTCAAGGAATGGTGGTCTCCAAACGTGATGGGCTTCAGGCATCACATTGTTCCATTCTTTTGTCAGTTGTGATGGATACCTTGTAGGTGTGTTTCCCACCCGTGGTCAGCCTGTTCCTGGAGAGAAACTCATAGAATAAAGTTTTAATTCATCAAAGGGGAGTACGTGCGTCAGTGCAGGCCATAAATGAGGAGAGCATGTGAATTATTTTAGAAAACGTGCAGAGCAGCGAGTAGTCACATAGAGGAGGTACTGGGGTCATTTAGCGTAACAAGATGGCCTCACTTATGTTCACTTACAATAATACTGTGTAGGGGAAGCATTCCCAGCTAGACATAACATCCATTGCCAAAAAACACTCAGGCAAAGTTGACATAACCTTTTTATATAATATTAGCTCAAAAATTTTAATCTTTATAATCTTACTAATCTTAGTAGCCTAACAGTTTGCTTAAATGACTGTTGGTTAGATTTCTCATTGTGATTTCTGCCTCCTGGCTTTTTTTTCTTTAACATAGGTTCATAACTGAACCATTCCAATTTTGCAATATGCAACCTAGAGGGCTGCCACTGGGAACGGAATCTGAGTTTCCCATGATGGCACCATACACACACATGCACACACACATACAAAACAAATGGAGCCAAAGTGTTCCTCTGTGAGTGAAAAATCTCTAGTCCTTTCAACAAATCAGGGCTCCCCTCCCAAACAAACTCCAGTAACCTGGAACAAAAACCCTGAAGCAGAGGTAAACAAATGAAAGTAAAACTAAGACTTCAGTCAGTTACAACGAGGAAACTCCACTAAGGGACCACCATTGCAAACCAAAACAAATGCAGACCAAGGGCTGCAAGTGTACTAGAGCTCTGATTACCCACTACTTCTGGCCAGTCCTGTTGGAAGGGTTAGCACGAAGACAAAAACAAACACTGCTCACTACTTACAAGTGACACCTTCCCGAGTCCTGAAGCTAGCTTCTTCCTCCACCAAACACAAAAGGGCCCTGGGCAAATGACATCTGGTCAGCAGCCAGTCGCTCGGGGCTGTCCGAGAGACAAGGGCTCAGGCAGCTGCAGGACAGCTCCAAGGGGGGCTCTTGGCCAGAGGCCAGCGTGCCACAGGCAAGACGTCCACTAGAGACTATGTCGCATCGGGATCGCCAAATTTGATACCGAACCTGAAGTGAGTTTGCTCACAGGTCACACAGCAAGCCACTCTCTGACACTGGGTGTAGGGAAAGAAAGTAGGAATCTTCTTGCAAAGCGCTGAACAAGGAGAACGGGCAGCTAGCACTGTAATCCTGAACTCTCCGAAAACCTACACGTAAGGGTTTTAGGTGGGGGAGGGGGTGCATGTGGCCTTGGGGTTGAAGTTCTAAGAGTCCCCCGCACAGGCATGACTGTTTGTTCTATGTGTTGCACGCAGTGGATTCTTAGTCTTTGAGGCTAAAGTTTACAATCAGTCATTTTAGCTTCTGAATGCTCCTGCAAGATGCTTAGTCAGGTGAGGGGCTGTCAACAAGTTCCTCTCTTATCAGGTCCTCCTGCTGTTCTGCATGGCAAGCTCAGAAACTTTGGTTATTTTGTTTCTCACGTTAACCGGGTGGGAACAAGGTGCAGTTTCATCCTAATCCAGGGAAACTTTAACTCCTTCACCCTCAGCGTCATTGTTAGGGATGTTGGAAGGGAAACAACCCCTTTTCTTGCTGTTATCGAAGTCAGGTCTCCCTCTCATCTACCATGATACCTTCTTTAGGGTGTCCCATCTGGACTGCGAGTACCAGCAGGCTTTGGGAGCACTAGAGAGGTTTATGGAAAGGACCCGGACAAATGTGCCCGAAAATCTCATCAGGTGGGGACTGGAAGGAGGGAGGAGGTGGAGGTCTGTCTGCACTGCTGTAGTGGACAGAAGAGAAGCAGCTGCAGCCCGTGTGCGGACAGGGAGAAGAAATGGGGCTGGGAGGCGACGGTCACATGGTGGCTGGTCTCCTGCCCACAACTCCTTTGTGTCGCTGCCCCACCCCCCACCAAGCCAGGGACCTGACCACCAGGCGGGCGTTGCACAGGGCTCCAGGAAAGGGTGAACCTGAGGACAACGGGGTGGGGGCAGGCTCTCCCCCACGGGAGGCGCAGCAGCTGCACTTCTCTGATGCCCCTTTGCAGATGCAGGTCTGGGCACACCTGGCACAGCCCACGGGGCAGCAGGAGCAACAGCCTGGGGAAGACAGGGCAGAGGGAGGGGTCAGAGCAGACATTACCCTGACCCTCCATTCCCAACAGCAGGCCAGGCACAACCTCCAGCCTCTGAAGACCCTGAGATTAGGATGGCATGCTGTGTCCCCACGCACTTTGTAGAACCTTTGGAAAAGGTCCCAGCCCCTAGGGAAAGGCTGCCCTGCCCCATCAGAGTCCAGGACAGGCCGGAATGTGTGGAGAGACAGTGACAGCATCCAAGGAGGAAAGAAGGCCAGCACCCCACCTCCGAAAATCATAAAATCAAGTGAGGAAAGTCTTCAAGATCTGAAAATGGGCAGACCCCTGCCAGAGCAGCTCCCAGGAGGGCCAGGGAAGCTCTGGGCTGCCTGGACAGGACAGGGCTGCACCAGCAGCTCAGAGAAACCACACGTGGTCACCAAGTTCACGTGCATAAAGTGCTCGGGACACTGCAGGGTTCAGAAGGCTTCTTCAGGAGACCAGAGATCTAGGTTCTAGTCTGGCTCTGTCCTTGACACTATTGGGTGACCTCTCTGGGTTCAGTTTCCCCACTCCAGAATGAGACGTGGAGACTCAACCATCTGTATGGCTCCTGCAGCTCTGATTCTGACTCAGGTGCTGAGGGACGGGGATGGAGGGAAGAGGAGTCATCAGCCTGCTCCTGCCTGCTGAGCTCCGGGCTCCCTCCGCTGACTCAGCTCAGCCCCCAGATCCCAGAGAAGGCCACACACTCACTCCTCTTGCAGGAGGCACATTTGCACTCTTTGCATTTGCAGGAACCAGCGCAGGTGCAGGAGCCACCTGCAAGGAAGGGGAAGCCAGGCGGTGAGCAGTGAGGGTGATGCACGAGAGACAGCAGCGGGTCCGCAAACACTCCCCGCGCCCTCCTCTGTCAGGGCCCAGCACTGGGAGCTCCTGTCCCACTCAGGGCAGATGGAGAGAAGCCCCAGCTTCTCTCTTCTGCTGCTGGGAAAGGTAGGTCCTCTCCTGATTGGACTCCACAAGGAAGGTCCCGGGCTAAAGATCCAGCCCGAGAGACTGGGGCTGGGGCCAGGGCCTTAGGTCCCGAGCCCCGAAGAGGAAATGTCCCAGCTCCCACCAAGTCCTGGCAGCTCTGAGGCCTGCACAGAGCGCTGCCTCCCAGTCCGGCAGCCCTCTGACCAACTAGGTGACCTCGAGAAGGGCAGCCTTGAGCCTCAGTAGCCTTCAATGGAAAACAGAGGCCAAGGAAGGCTGGAAATGCTCTCAGGAGCTTGGCCAGGCTGAAACACAAGACGTGCTAACTAAAGGAGTCCACTTTAGCTCCAACTCAAGACACTCCCTCCTCCAGCCCAAGGATGCTCTGTCCTACGCCTGGGAAAGGGGCCTCTTAAGGCCCAGAGCCCAGTGTCCCTTACCTGTGGGGCAGGAGCAGTTGGGGTCCATTTCGAGCTGAGGCGAGGCCGGAGGTCCAAACCTGGTGACGAAGATGCACTTGGGCCGCTGGAAGGCGTGGTGGCCCCTAGGCGCCTGCCTGCTCTCTTTCTAGCCAGGAGACGTGGCCTGGGCGCAAAGCCCATGGGTGTTGGTTCAGGTAGTCGAGCTCCACAGAAAGTCCTATGCCACTTCCTGCCCATGGGACCTGGGCCAGTTGCTCAATCTCTGTGAGCCTCCGTTTCTTCATCTGTAAAAAGGAGATTATACCGGACTGGGGAGGAGTCAATGAGCCGGTATCCTGGCTCTAGCTGGGGCTTTGTAAACAGCGTCCATTCTGATCCTTCTTTTCACAGCGACTTTCTTGGAGGTACAATCCTGCTGATTCCCAGCAAGCCCTCTTGGGGAAAGGTTCACTGGTGTGGAAGCGTGACTCTGGGTTGGGGGTTAAGGATAGGATTGGAAATCCAGTGGCAGTGGGAGTGTGGACGACCTGCGAGAAGCCCCTTGGGACAAGAGGCTGCCACAGCAATTCCACAGACAGGAGAGCCTTCCCTACCCTTCACCTCGATTCATCTGCACCAGGAACCAGGGAGAGAGTGAGCATCCAGGGGCTGGAGTGACTGTGCCAAGTTCCAGAGAGGTTAAGCAACCTGCCCGAGGTCACACAAATCATAGTCAGAGGTCTGAACCCATCCCACAGCTGGCCACAGGTGGCTGATCATGGTGTGACTGGATAATAAATCCTGTCTCTCATTAGTCAGAGCTGGAAGGCTTCTTTGAGATAGTCCAGTTGTGCTCTCGGCTTCAGAGATGGGAAACCGAGGCCCAGAGAGGTGACAGAGCTATGCAAGGGGATCGGACTGCTGGCTCCGTGCTCTTCCCAATGCTGCCTCTGGGCTGGGTGTTCAGCGTCTGCGTCTTTCACGTGAAGTTGTGTTGGAGGGTGGTGGGAGAGGGCACGATGCTGCAGCCAGCCTGCATGGGTACCAACCCGGCCGGTGTCACTTTTAGCCCCGTGACGGAACCTCTCTGGGGTTCAGTCTCCTCTGCTGTAAAAAGTGCAATGGCATGGCATCTGGCTCTTAGGATGAAATGATTGAATACATGCAAAGAACCTAGAATGATGCCTGGCACACGGTGAGTAATCTAAACTATTAGCCATTATTTCATTGTTATCATTTACAGTGTAGGAGAGATTTTTCTACTTCAAGACAAGTAAACCAGGTCTGCTGTCCCGGCTATGTGTCCTGTGTAGCCCTCATCAAACGAGGGAACAGGTGACCCGTTGCCCAGAGAGGGTCATCCTCTCTTCTCACGGCAGGGGGACTAGGGATAGGAAGCCGTGAGCAAGACAGTCCGTGTCTTAAAACAGAGACGGAAAGATGCCTGCTCTTTCTGCTGTCACCTGCACCAGCATTTTGCTTCACATTTTCTTTTTTGACTGATTCGTGTTTTCTCAGATATATTTACGACAAGCAAAGTCTTTAGCGCTACTGAAAAGGAGAATTGGTTGACATCCAGACACAGAAGGGAGCCAGACAATCACATCCATATTCCTTTCGCATCACTTCTGTCCCTCCCAGGATTGATCCTGAGGCAGTGGGGAGCTGCTGAAGACGCACCTCTGGGCCAGAGAGAAGCTTCCTCAGGGACTCTCTCTTCCCCGTGGCACTTGACTGGAATCAGACCCTGGGCACCGCTTCCCAGCACTGTGACCCTGGGTCTGTGCTGTGTGGAGTTTTGCCTTTGGGAAATGGGCTTCTGCCTAGTATTTCCCTTTGGGGCTGTTGTTGGGGTTCAAAGGGGGAAAGTGGTGAAACCAGGGCTGGCACAGGCTCCACGTGAGGGGATTGTCAGGAAGACAGAGAGGGAAACACCCACTCTCCTGGCTTGGTTCTTGAATGCCCTGGTCTGCCCACCACCTAAAACGACCCCTTTCCTGGGGGCATCCCACTCTTGGGGAACCTCCCTCCTGGAGGAGGGTTCACCGGCTGCGCTTAGGAGAGCCCCTGGGGAGTTGAAGCAAAGGAGACCCCGGACAAACGTGCCCACCCATCCCTTCAATGGTGGAGAAGGGAAGGAAGGGAGGGAGGCAGAGGCCTGTGCTGGCCGCGTGGCTGTGTCCAGGAGTAATGGGGCCTAAGGACCCTGGTGGGGACCAGGACAGGTAATGCCTCGGGGGTGCGGTGGGGTGGGGGCAGTTGTCACATCCACTTCCAGTCTCTGCACACAACTCCCTGGCTCCAGACAACCCAGAGACTTGAGCAGCTGCACAGGGGCTCCGGGAAAGGGTGAACCTGAGGACAAGGCACTGGGGGCGTGGCGGGGACGCCTGGCCAGGACTCAGGGTCTGAGTTCCAGGCACACGTAGGGGCAGGGGTGGCGGCCCCGTCGGAAAATTGGCGACAAAGGAGGCCAGGACACCGTGTGCCGCCCGGCACACAAACCCCTCCACGGATCTGGGGCCAAAGGGCCCGCTCCCTCGCTGCGCCCAGGGCCCAGCTGGGCTCCGGGGACCTGCGCCCGGCCCGGTGCGCACAGCCCAGCACAGCCAGGGGCGCTGCGGGCCGCGCGGCCTCCGCGGGGCGGGCTGCAAGGAGCGGGGCGTGGTCTTTGCGCCCGGGCCGCCTCTCCTGGCTAGAAAGGGAGCAGGCAGGCTGCCTAGGCGCCTCCACACCTTCCAGCAGCCCAAGTGCATTTTCATCACCAGGTTCGGACCTCCCGCCTCGCCTCAGCTCGAAATGGACCCCAACTGCTCCTGCCCCACGGGTAAGGGACACTGGGCTCTGGGCCTTAGGAGGCCCCTTTCCCAGGCATAGGACAGAGCATCCTTGGGCTGGAGGAGGGAATGTCTCGAGTTGGAGCTGAAGTGGACCCCTTTAGTTATAGCACGTCTTGTGTTTCAGCCTGGCCAAGCTCCTGAGAGCATTTCCAGCCTTCCTTGGCCTCTGTTTTCCATTGAAGGCTACTGAGGCTCAAGGCTGCCCTTCTCGAGGTCACCTAGTTGGTCAGAGGGCTGCCGGACTGGGAGCCAGCGCTCTGTGCAGGCCTCAGAGCTGCCAGGACTTGGTGGGAGCTGGGACATTTCCTCTTCGGGGCTCGGGACCTAAGGCCCTGGCCCCAGCCCCAGTCATCTTTAGCCCGGGACCTTCCTTGTGGAGTCCAATCAGGAGAGGACCTACCTTTCCCAGCAGCAGAAGAGAGAAGCTGGGGCTTCTCTTCCTCTGCCCTGAGTGGGACAGGAACTCCCAGTGCTGGGCCCTGACAGAAGAGGGCGCGGGGAGTGTTTGCGGACCCGCTGCTGTCTCTCGTGCATCACCCTCACTGCTCACCGCCTGGCTTCCCCTCCCTTGCAGGTGGCTCCTGCACCTGCGCTGGTTCCTGCAAATGCAAAGAGTGCAAATGTGCCTCCTGCAAGAGGAGTGAGTGTGTGGCCTTCTCTG